GTGAAGCTCTTTGAAATCTCTGGCTGGAAACCCCCAGCTCCGATTTGGTGCGTACGCCCCGCTGTGGGCGTCTCCCTTCTAAATTCTCTTCCTCATACTCTCCCTGACCCCATTCACGTCCCGTCTCTGGGGGTCACCGTAAGGCTGCTCAGCGGCCTGCCTGCTCTGCGGTTAGTTCCCTGGGGCTCCTCCAAGCCCTTTTCCACCTGCTAGTAAGAGGCGCGCGCCTGCCAGGGAGTCAGGGGAAACGGGGCTGCTTCCTGGGCAGCTAAGACCAGTTCAGGGAGGATCTGCCTTTGCTGCTCCCTGCCCTGTGACACCCCAAGTCCCGCGGGGGGCGGGACGGGAGTGGGAGGGAGGGGCATTTCTAAAGGATAGCTGCTGCTAACGCAAATCCCAAGGCACCCTCAGCCACGGAGCCTCTTTAGCATTGGGTGTCCTCTCCTGGGACAGAAGGGCTCCACCCTGCTACTGCGCTAGACAGAGCAGATAGCACCCGGCCCACCCTGGCCAGCTTAAAAATCCATCAGCCAGCTGGCTGCCCGAAGGAGTGGGTGAAAAGTAAGAGAGTCCATCAGGCTGCAGCAGCCCAGAGCAGCAGCATCTAAAGAGCCTGGCACCAGCTTAGCTATTACTGCTGTGCAGGGCCCCTGCTTCTGCGCCAGGGCACCCGCAGGCTCAGCGGGCACAGGGAGGGTTCTGGGCACCATTTTACAGGCAGAGGAAATAAGGGATTTGCCCAAGGTTACTGCACAACTTTGTGCCAAGGCTGACCTGGCCCCTGCTGTTCGGGGTCACTAGCCCCCTCCCCAAAGAAGGCTTTTCTCCTGCTGCGATCCTGGCACCTCCCTTGAGCTAGAACCATTCTTCCAGCTGCACCGACACCCTGGGAACAGCTGTGTTTGCCAGCCAGTGCGCCCAGTGCTGGGAGTGAGTTACCTTTCCTCGGGGTGGCTTTCTTCAGGGAGTGCTTGTCTGTGGCGGCTTCTTTCTCCTTCCACCGTCTGACCTGCTCCTGCCTCATCTTGAGGAAGAGGATCTGCTTTTGCTCCTCGTTGAGCTCTGCCAACAGCTCAGGCTCGATATACATGTCTGCCAAGATCTGCTGCAGCATGGCTACAGCTCTCGCTCATCCGCACAGGCGGCCACAGCCTCTGAAGACAGGTCTGGGTGCTCCTTCCCCGGCCAGGCACAGCCGTGCCGACACCAAAAAATCTCTCCACCCCCAAAGCACACAGCAGGAACGCAGACACACCATGGCAATTACACTCCCATCCCTCCACCTATTTTAGCTCAGACTTCCTGCCCAGATTGAAAAAGTAAATAAGCGGCTTGGAACCTCTGGTTAATAATCACAAAAATCCCAGCAGACCTAACCTTTCAGGTAGAGCTGAAAGAAAAACTGTGTCCTTGCTCCTCCAGGGATGAATGACTAAGATTTATAGTGAGACAATTCCGTTTCTGCCCCTGGAAATTCCACTGAAAGTGTCGGGGGGGGGGAAAAAAAGTTCTCTATCACAGAAATCAGAGGCGTGGCTTCCTTTGAACTAGACAAACATGCCATTACCTGCTGGAGAGAGCAATGACCCAATGAATCTACAGCTAGAAAACTCCCTCCCCTGCTCCCCTTTTACAAAGGAACTCCTCTGGGAAGTGACGGGCACACTAATGCAGAGTGGGAGGGACAGGGAGGTTTTGGGAGCCTGCCCTGCCCATAAAATCTCAAGTTACAAAACTTTTTCCAGCTGGCTTCCATTCTAAGGGGCTGGCTGCCACGGGTGGTGCCAGGCACAGAAGCTGGAGGGGGTGGGGAAATGTAGGGTGGACATCTGAACGAGGTAGCTGTGATGTCAGTGGGCACAGGCGAGACGCCGTCTTTCTCCAGAGAACAGGTGAATGCTACATTTGAGCTTTGAAAGCGTTGAGGGTTCTCTGCCCCACTGCAGCCCCCTCCAGAACTTGCTTCCTACCCTCTGCCTCAGTGGTTCAAATGAAAGGCAGCAGCGGAGTCTTGTCAGAGCGGCTGGCAGGCTGCTTCCTGCCCGCAAAGTCCGCACACGTGCGCCAAGACGTCTGGTGGAAGATGCCCGGAGTTTGTAACCCAGGCAGGTGCTAGGCACAAACTCACTCGACCCCTCTCGTCCCAGACTAGTGCGGCAACTGGGAGTCAGATGTGTTTGCTGAATGGTCCCTTTCTTTTTACAATGCCTGCCAGACACAGCAAGGAAACCTTACCTTTCGCAGCCGCCCCTTGAGCTACCGGGGATGCAAAGGTGGGCCTGCTGGCCTCCCACTCCGCTATATATCCCCAGGCTGCAGGACTCCCAGTCACTTTGCCTTTGTTGCTGGCCAATTAGGCACCAGACATCATCAGAGGAGCTGGACAACACTGTGTATGTTTCAACCAGGTTCACTTCTCCCGGAAGACCTGCAGGTGGAAATGAAATCATCTCTCACCTTTAATGTTTTTATTTTTGAAGCAAGACGCTGGTCAGCACCCCTCTGCAGGGCTGCGCCCAGTTCTGTTCCCCTGGGTCCGAGCAAGGCGGATCTGCACCGAAACGGGAACGGAGAGTCTGAGGAGAAGAAAACAGCTTGGCTTGCTGAGCCTAGCAAAACACAGGCTGAGGGGCAGCAGGGCGTGGGAGGGGTAAAACCACAGGAAGGGAAAAGAGCGATTGAGGGTAAGGGACAATGTTGGCACAAGGACAAACGGGGACCGACTGGCCAGGAATCAATGCAGGCTGGACAATGGGAAGAAAGTTTCTAACATCAGATGAGTGAAGTGCAAACAATGCAGGTAGCTTTAGGATGGAGCGTGACTCATTTACGAAGGGGATTTATGACAGGGCTGCTTGCGGGGGCAGGGGACTGGACTTGCTGACCCAGGAGATCCATGCTCTTCCTTTGGCCTTGTGATGGGGTGCCTACCCCCACTAGTGGTGAAACACCTGGTGGCACGTGGAGGGTGGGTCAGGACTAATTCATGATTCAACCCAATGGAGGTGGCTTGTGTCCTACAAGCAGAGGAAGTTTATTGAAGAAGGTTGGTGGGGGAAACGCTGCAGACACTCTCCGGATAGGGAACGAGGAGGGATGGGGAGAGGACTGCAGGGCAATATTCCTTCTAATTTTTTCCATCTGTGTGTGGAATACATTTTGTTACAAGCACCAAGGCATGTGCAGATGTGCACCACCAATAGAAGCACATGCTGTCGGCAGTGGGCGCTCTGCTAGTGAGCAGGGTGGCATCTGAATTTATCCTCGGGGGCCACCCAAGCACTCAGCTTACCAGGAACACTGCTGCAGAGTGAGGAGAGAGCCCAAAGCAGGGCTCAGGAGGCAGCAGCAGCAAAGAGCCCACTGGTAGAGTGACCCAGGACTGTCTACAGCAGGGACCCTGGACTGCATCCCAGAAGAATTGGTTTTTTATTTCAGAAGGTGGAGAAAATGCCTGAGGGAGAGGCTGTTCTAGTTCTGATTTCGACAAATAGAGAGGTGGAGAATGTGAAACGGGGAGGCAGCTTGAGTGAATGTGATCATGAAATGGCAGAACTTGTGATTCTGCAGAATGACAGGAGGGAGAACAGCAAAAGAAAGACAATGGATTTCAAAAAGGAAGACTCGTCGGAGGAGCTCAAGCTGGTAAGCAAGATCCCATGGGAAGCAAGTCTCAGCGGAGTAACGATTGGTGACAGTTGGCAGTTTTTCAGATAACTGGGTTTGCTTAGTCTGGAAAAGACGGAGAGGGGCCGTAAGTTTTCAAGTTCCTAAAAGGTTGTTACGAGGAGGAAGGAGACAAATGATTCTCCTTCACCTCTGAGGACAGGACAAGAAGCAATCGGCTTGAATTGCAGCAAGGGTGGTTTAGGTTGGACATTAGGAGAAACATCCTGTCAGGTGGTGAAACACTGGGATAAATTGCCTAGGGAGGTTGTAGAATCGCCAACACTGGAGATAATGAAGAGCAGGTTAGACAGACACCTGTCAGAAGGTGGTGCATGCTCCTGCCACGAGTGCCAAGGACAGGCCTCGATGACTTCTCAAGGGCCCATCCAGTTCTATGATTCAACAGAGGAGGGACCCGGGTTCTCCTACCAGCCACTGGCAGGGTGCTGTGAAAGCCCTCAAAAGGAGAGATGAACTGCTGGGCCCAGAGTCAAAGGCAGCAGCACAGGCAGCGGGACCAGACCTTTGTTTTCACAGGACTGTGTTACATTGGAAGGACTGGTCCTGACTGTCGCCCGGCAAGAAGGCTGGGTCATGAGAAGAGGCACTTTACGTGCCTCTCCTTTGCTGGGCTGTTCTGCCCCAAATGTGGCTAATTGGGTCTTCCCCGGGGCGGAGTGCTTGTGTAGGGATGGTGTGCACCGCCCTCGTGTCCTCAGCCAACTGCAACCTCAGAGCAGACATGGCGACCTGCTGAATTTACACCCATGAGTCAGTGGAGGAAAAGAAACTAACTGGGAGTCCCTCGCTAACAGCAAGGGAAGAGGGTAGGTTGTGTCCTCCCTGAAGTGCCGCACTGTTGCACTAGTCGAGTACTGAGTGTAGCTAAGCCTGGGCACAAGACCAATAGCTAACAAGTACCAGAAGGGAACACTGGCAAGTACTGTGAAGAGAAAGTTCAAGAGGGTGGGAGACCATTAAGAAGCGAACAGGCGTGGTCTGTGCAGTCTGCCCAGCGGGTTTGGCTAATGAATCCTGTTTCCAACCCTAGCTCTGGGCCAGGGAGCCCTACTGGCAAACCATAGCCTAAGGAAAAGGAGCCCTTCCTTGGGTGACCCTAACAAGCCTCCTAAGACAGCCCTGCTATAGGAAACCATATTCTCGTAACGCAAAACCCAGGTCGGGGAGGCCCCGAGTCCAACCCTAACTCAAGGGCTAAGATGGGGAGCCCAGCACTTCGTAACCCTACACTCGGGAACCCAACACTAACTCTGCACTCAGGAATCCTGATTGAAACCCTCTACAATGTAACCCTAACCAGAGGCTGAAGGGCCTCACCCTTCACCAATCTAGCCATGCACCCCGCATCCCTTCTGACTTTAGGCCTGGGAGCCTAGTGATCTTTGGACGCTCGCAGCCTGCAGACCAGCTGCCACGCTCATGCCCAGGCCCTCAAGTCTTGCTGGACGCTGACAAATGCGTCGCTGGAAACCAGCCAGGCTCACCTGCTCATGGACACAAAACCGGTACTACGTTCAGAGCGTTTAGCCTTTGGACATTATGAAATGCTGGTGGGCTGCTGCGTGCACCGTCTCCCTTATAGATCTCTCCCTCACGTGTCAAAAGGCAACGCTTCAACGTTTGCTCTGTCACTACGCAAGTGAATCAGAAATCCACCCCGGCTCCACCCCACCCCCCGGTCAGGAAAGCAGCACTAGCAAGTGTGAAAGACCCTAGATGTCAACAAAAGGTGGCCGATAGACACCAGACAAACCATTGTGGAACAGCAGTTGACAAGGGACTTTGTTGTTTTTCCCACACCCAGGAGCAGGGGATGTGCGCGAACACTACTCTCGTTACATTGTGGACTCTAGGTGAGGGGGGTTAAGATCCCTCGGCAGAAGAAATTGTTACAACTCAGCTGTTTCTCTTTCTAATTCTGTCCCTGGCCTGGGAAGCCCTGCTCTTTAGAACCATGGTGTCCAACTACTGTGGCTACTGCCACCGCACTCAACCATCCCAATAGCTACATGTGGCTAGCGGCTAGTGTGTTGGACACCGCGGCTATAGATGATAGAGAGGAAGGCCACTTACAGCTTCGTAGAGAGACCGCAGGAAGTTGATCTCATCCATCAAGGCATCTACTTTGGCTTCCAGCTCCACCTTGTTCATGTAGGCGGAGTCCACATCCTGAAAAATATTCAGAACTGATTTATAAGCCTAGCCCAAGGAGAGGGAGCCATCCTAACCCTAGACCAGGGAGCCTTACTTGTCAGACACCGTCTCCCAGCAGCCAGGCCTAGCGGTTGGAGTGGAGGTTGAAGCCAGATGTGGGCTTAGACTGGCACTGCAGGTGAAATCTGAGGACAGAATTGAGCCCAGAGCCTGCAGACAAAGTCCAGGTGCAAGCCAGGAGTCGAAGCCAGGTGGTCCAAAGCTAGTACTGTCGCTGGAGCCAAAGATCAAAGCCAGATGATTGGAGTCAGAGGGCTCAGGGAGAGGAGACAAGGCTGAAGCGAGCCAGTAACAGGCTGGAGCAAGGCGAGGGTAGGGCAAGAGCGAGACTGGAACAGGGCTGCTTGAGCTGGGTTGATGCAGGGCAGGCTGGGAGTGTGGAGAGTCCGACACTCCCTATAGCCGCAGGAGGGTTCCTGGCTGGGTAGGGCTGTTCACAGATGGAGCTGCAGCTTAGGGAGCTGGGGAAATACCTGGGCTGGGGGTCACCTGACGCAGGCTCTGCTCCGGGATAGGCTGCTGCCGTATGCCTGGGGGCAAGTCCCTGCCACAGCCAGGTTGGTGCATACCTGAGAGGCACCTCCCTGCAGCCTCAGGGCAGCCACGGAAGCACAGGGAGTGAGAGAAGTGTAGGCCCACCCACTGCTTAACCCCCCCTGCCCATGGGCTGGCGGGGAGAAGGGCATCAGCTAATCATGGGGGACACAATGAAGTAACCGTGATGGGAGTGAAGATCACCGGGATCAGGTCATGGGTGCAGAGGGGGAAACACTGCGCAGAGGACCCCGGATGAAAGCAACCGCTGGACGCGGCCCAGGGGAGCTCTGCCCAGAGACGACTTCAGGGAGGCGTGGAAATAGGCTCCACAGTGCCAGTCCAGCTTCCTTCTCCTGGAGGGTGGATGACCGCCCGAGCCAGGAGGTGGCTCCTGAAGCCGGGAGACTTTACGGGGCTCCGGAGTGAGATGCGCGGATCAGGCGGAGGCGCGGCTGGAACCTGAAGAGAAGGCCCTGGAGGAGTCGGACAAGGGGCTGCAGCCTGGCACCGTGGCAGGAGATGTGGGCCGACGTCTCCCTCGCGCCACATAAAGGGACAAGTGTCGCAGAGGCAGGGGTCACCCCCACAAGTACACACTCACATGCAACTGCTCTGGGAAGGAGCCACCAACGTACCCTGCCAGTGGGTCAGGGGACCAGGGCGCCATTCAGACTGGTGCTCCTCACCCTCCACAGGCGGTAGGAGGTCCTGCCCCTGGCTTGTGCGGTGGGGCACCAGTGTCAGAAAGGAAGGATAGGATACGAGCTGTGAGCACCCACAGCTGTTTCCTAGGGACGGACAGCCGAGTGAGCAGCCAGTGTGTGTCTCATTTCTGCTCCCAACTCTAACCATAGCCTGGAGAGTCCTGCTGGCCCCAGCCCTACCCCCGCCCTGAGGAGCCCTACTAACAGTTCTCACTCTGCCCACTGTACCCTTGCCCTCAGCTGGGAAGCCCTGCCCTTTGTAATGAAGCACAAAGCGGGGAGCCCTACTGACCCTGCCCTAGGCCCAGAAGCCCTACTGATCACCGTGAACCTCAGGCTGCACAGCGTAGTGACCCCCATGCTAAGCCTGGGCTGCGGAGCCCCCCCTTGTAACCATACCCCTAAATGGGAATCTCCACCAGCCCCAATGCTAGTCTGAGAAGCACTCCTGACAACCCCCACCGAGGCCACCCCTAACCCGAGGGTTGGTATCTGTACCATGCCCTGGCCTAATCTTAGGCTGGGGAGGCCTAAACTGCTGCCTAACCCGGACCTTACGCGGGGAGGCGGGTTAGTCACACCCACTCGAACCCTAGACTTGGGAGCTGCATCCAGTCCAACCCTAACTATAGGTCAGGAAGTCCACACCTTATAACCCTACCACTAAACCAGAGTCCTTCCCTTGGTAAGAACCACGGATCCCAACCCTAATCTGAGACCGGGAACAACCCGAACCCCAGGCAAGAGAGCCTTGCTAACTCCAACCCTTACATACCCCTAGGGACTCTCTGACCTTCACCCTCACCCTGCTTGGGGGGCACTATGCTGTGTAACCCTAACCCGATGTGAGGGAGCCCTGCTAACCCCAACTCTGAACCTAGGCAGGGAGTCCTGCTGACCCCAATCTTAGCTCTAGGCCAGGGAGCCCTACCCCTAGCATGGGGAGCCCTGTTGGCCCCAGTCCTGAAATTAGGAGAAGGAACCCTACCCATTGTAATCTAAACCCAAGGGCGGGTCGCCTTACCATTTCTAACCAAACCTTCTGCTTGGAAATTTGATGACCCAACCTGCACCATAAGACAGGGATTTGTACTGACCCAACCCAAACCTACACCAAGGACGCCTGCTCACCCCAACCCTAATCCCAGGCCATGGGACTTTATGCTTTGTAGCCCTAATCCTAGACTGGGGAGTCCCTGGGCGGAGGTGCTCTGTGACCTCACAACTGGAGGACCTACCCTTTGGAACTCAAACCCTCCATTGGGGAGTCCTGACAACAATCATATCCATAGGCACAGGGGCTCCCTACCACAATGCAGGGAGCCCAAACAACAAGCCTAATGTTAGGGCTAGTGGCCCTACCCTTTGTAAACCCCACTATAGGCCAGAGCACCCCACCTGTACTGACAATCCTACTCTAGCCCGGGGCTCCTACAGACCCCAACAGTAACCCTGGGGTTGAGCGCGCAACCTTCACTCTAGGCCAAGGAACCCTACTGATCCAAACTCTAGCCCCAGGCTCAGGAGCCAGTGGGAGCCCTCTACTTTGTAACCCTAGCCCTAGGCAAGGGACCCCTCCCCGTTGCAAATGTTACCATAACCCTCCCTTTTGGCCAACCCTCGGGCAGGGAGCCTTACCATGTGTAGCCTGGAGACTCCTACTGACCCCAATCCAAATCCCAGGCCAAGGAAACCTCTGACCCCACCCCTAACTCTTGGTTGATGAGCCATACCCTTTGTAATCCCAACTCTTGCAAGGGGATTAACATACAGTTTCCTGCCATAAATGGACAGTTAAAATTGGGCTGATTTTAATTAAAGAATGTAACAAATGTATTAAACTACAAGATTAATGCCCTATGCTTGTATTCACTTAAAGTCAGAGTCAGACATGGATACAAGAGAAATAAGGATAAAACACTTCCTAGGACTAAAACTTAGGACAGAGTTGGTCCAAAATAAAATTCTTACCAGAGGGGTCCAGCAACAAAGCTGACCAAGGTCAGGATCTCTTCCAAATAGGCTGATTTCTTTTGTCTTCTCACGTGAGAGAGCAAGAGATGGATAGGGTGTGTTCTTCCACTTGCTTTTTATAGTTCAATCTCTCTTTGAAATCCATTTTCTTGAGGGTTATCCCTAACAGTCATTCCTATTGTGAGGTTGGAATCCAGGAGTCTGCTAGTGAAAGAGGTGAATGGCTGTTTGCTAAGGTGCAGATCTGTTCACTCCTGCCCCACCCTTCTCCCTTGCCAAAGAATTGCCACTTGATTGGTGAGGGCCCATCAGCTTAGAGGACACCAGGCCAAAGCTGTGAGTCTGTCCTTTGTCTTTGAGAAACAAGTTTATCCACTCCCAGACTTGCCTGGTAAACACAATTCTGTCATGATTTCAGCTTTTGTTTAAATCGTATATCTACTATCACTACACACATTTCTCTGTGACATTACCAACCAGTGAGTTGTTAGTTTTCAAATGAAACTTCACAAGGCATATTTTGTACAACATGTATAGGGTGCGAACACGGGGGGGGGTGTTTCATCACACCAGTCATCCCCACCATAATCCCCCGACAGGTGGGAAGACAGGACTCCAAATCACATCCCATAAAACTCATGCCTCAGTGGTGTGGAGATGATACTTCATGCAAGAGGCAGTAGCCAGTATGAGGTTTCCATGGTGTTCTTCCAACTTCCAACTCAGGAATCACAAACTGCAACTGGATAGTTCTTGCGGGGATTTCAATTTACAGGCCTGGTCACTGTCTCAGATAAAAGGTTCTTTGTGGGATTTCCCAGCAGATTTGATATTACTGTCTCCACCACCAGCAGGCTTAAAATAAAACACTTTGTACCAACTGGCCACCTACTTTTAAAGAAAAACAAGAATTTATGCCTTAATTTATAACCCAACCATATTTATGGCGACACCACACTTCTACACCAAAAGAACATAGAGAGGACTGAACCAAGATCAGATGCCTATGAGGACAAAGACATTACTATCCATACTTCACAGCTAGGGAGCTGGGGCACAGAGAGAGGTCAGGTCTACACTAGGGGATAAGTTCGAATTAAGATATGCAACTCCAGCTACGTTAATTACATTAAGTACCTTGCGTCAAACTTTGGCACCACTGCCACGGCGGGAGGTCGATGGGAGAAACATTCACATTATCTTTCCTTACTCCTTCCAAGGAGTAGGAGTGCCAGTGTAAATGGGGGCAGCCCCTTGGCATTTGATTTAGCAGGTCCTTACTAGACCCACTAAATCGAACGCCAGAAGATGGCCCTCCAGAGCATCAATCTATGGGTAAGTATAGACATGGCCAGAGAGCGAGACAAAGAAAGTAACTTGCCCAGGGTTACATAGAGACTGACAACCTAGAATTTCAGTTCCAGTCAAGTGCCTTAGCCACAAGGCCAGATTTGCTCCCTGAGAGTATGTACACCCTGCACATAACCTGCCCCTGACCCATGCCAGCTCACTGGGGCTCAGGCTAAGGCACTGTTTAATTGTAGTGCTAATGTTTGCACTTGTGCTGCAGCTCACACTCCGGGACCCTCTCACCTCACAGGATCCTAGAGCATAAACCCAAGTGATGACACCGTAAATCAACAGCCTCTGAACCCTGAGTCAGTGGCACAGGCATCTGCAGTGTAGACGTACCCTGAAATTCCTTCTGCCAATCATAATTCAAGAGGAGCTTTTCTGCGTGCACAGAGCCATGCTGAACGAGACAGGAGGAAGACAATTCTACATGTCCCACGTGATAAAATCAATGGTGAAAGTAATGAAAACTGAGACATCTCTTTTGTACCAGATAGCTTAGCCAGTCAAAACATGGGCTTAGATAAGCTTATGAGGTCTGAGATAATCAAACAAGAACCAAAGAGTTTAAACTATTTTATTTATTTATTTTTCAGTCTAAACCAATGAAGCTTCAAGAAACCAAGCTATTTGGATGAAAGGAAGAGATGCCGCCACCACTGGACGTCGCTCAGATTTTTTCCCCACATTATAAATGTCTAGATTACAAAAACAGAAGAATCTGAATATCATCTGGAGTGTCACAGAAAAGAAAGAGTTTGTCTAAATGGCACCAAGAAAAGTAGTTATGATTCCGCAAGCCTATTTCAAGTGTTTTTGGCTGCCGTATTACAGATTGGTTTGCAAGCCTCAGAAATACGCAACCTTTCAACGGAGTGTGACCAGCTCCTCTGATGAAGTTGGATGAATGGCAACCGTCTCATCAAAGCTGGCCTTTGTTGCTCCCATTTTGACTGCTACAGCGAAACCTTGCAGCATTTCATCGCACCCTAGTCCCTGCATGTGTAGTCCCACCACCTTCAAACAATAGGAAACTTACTTTAATACAGATGAGCATTTAATGACAGTTATCACTGAACCAGCTAGAGAATCTCCATCAACCTGATCACTCATTGGCATAGAGAAAAGCTACTTTTGACCTAGTCAACAGCCTTTCAAATAAATCTACCCATTTGGAGTTAGTGAAGAGTTAAGGTCGCCCAGTAGTGTTTCCAGCCTGTGGAAAGCAGCTTGCTTCAGAATATGGGAAGTGACAAAATGTAAACCTTTGAAAACTAGGAAATACGAAGTTACAGTCCCTATTATCCCCGCAGCACCACCTTAACTCTGTGCCCCTGCAGCTGGCAAAACCAGAGGGAATCTATCAGCATGGGCGTGGAACAGATTAAACTACCAGGGAAGCAGAGGATTTTTCATCTCTTGAAATGCTCAACTCAAGACTGGGGGCCTGTCTCAAAGATGTTTTAGTCAAACACTGATTAGGCCCAAAAGAGGAGTCAGATGAAATTTTATGACCTGTGTTATATATGAGGTCAGACTAGAGCGGCGTAGCTGAACCCCTTCAGCCTCATATGCCACAAATAACGATGAGGTAGGGATGTAAAATCCCATTTAATCGGTTAGCTGGTTTAATCAGGATCCTGCTGGCAGTGGGCCAGTTATTTTACCTTTCGCTAGCCACACCGATTTGGCTAACAGCAGAATACAAGCTGTTCCATTCTCCTTAACATTTTAGCTATGACTTATTTCATTTGGCTCACCTTCTCTTCTTTGCCAGCACAAACCAGCTTCATGACACACTTAGTTTTCCTCTGCGTTACAGCGTGATACATGGGGGTAAAAGAGGTGTTGTAGATCTTCACATTCTCTTTTCCATATGTCGAAATGGCTTCCTCTGTAACACACAAGAGACATTTGACTCCATGGCCTGCAGAGGACTATGGGCTAGTTACACTACTGGGCTCTCGCAGCACTACAGCACGTCTGGTGAAGGACACCACGCCAACAGGAGAGCGCTTTCCCTTCAGCGTAATTACTCCACCTCAACAAGAAGAAACAGCTGTGTTGGCGGGAGAGAGTCTCACATCCATATAAAAGTGGTGTCTGCCCCATACTAAGTCGATGTAACTTACATGGCTTTTTCATAACCCAGAGCAATGTAAGTTTTTTTATAATGGAGGTTGCCTATCTCCTAGAACTGGAAGGGACCTTGCAAGGTCATTGAGTCCAGTCCCCTGCCTTCACAGCAGGACCAAGTACCATCCCTGATGAATTTTTGCCCCAAATCCCTAAATGGCCTCTGCAAGGATTGAACTCACAACCCTGGGTTTAGCAGGCCAATGCTCAAACCACTGAGCTATCCCTCCCCCCTGTTAAGTAGTAGTATAAACAATCCCTCATACTCAAGCAGGATGAAATGAAGACCACTTTACACAGCGACAGAGGAAAATGTTCTGTACACTTCTTAATGACATTGGTACTTATGCAAGCAATTGAAACAGTCTATTGCTAGCACAACACAGGGACCAAGCGTTGTAAACGACTAAGCATTTGGAAGAAGTAAAGTATTCTGGACAAACACATTTTAGTAAGTTTTCCAAAAAGAACAAATCTGACATTCAAAAAATAAATTAATGGCGGCATTATGGAGGTGTCCTCAGACATTTCATAGTCAAAGTGTATTTGAGTTTTGCCCTTAAGCAGGGCCACACTTATGTACGAAGAACACAGCACAGCATCTGCAAGCCTACAGCACTTTGAGTAAAGAATGAACTTGGCAATTTACAAAAAAAATCTATTTATTAGTTGTGGAGATAAAATTAAATGTGGGATCCTTAAGAAATATAGGCACTCACTTTTTGACCCACAGCTGCAGTAACTGCAATATACTTTTTGTAGTTAAAATTCTCTAAAATCTTGTGGCTAGGTTATACAGTAGAACAGAGGTGGGCAATAATTTTGGAAAGTAGTCAAAGGCTATACTCTTCCATTACTTTAATGGAGGAGGTGTGGGATCTGGGAGGGAGTTTGGGTGAAGGAGGCAGTTGTGACCTGGGACAGGGGACTGATGTGTAGGAGGGGATTCAGGAGTTTGGGTTGAGACCTAGGGCAGGATGGGATTCTGACCTGGGGCAGGGGATCGGGGTGAAGGTAAGAGGAAGCTGATGTTCCTAGCTCTTACTGTTTAGGAGGAGTTCTTGAACAAACAGACACACAGATGGACGGACAGAGAGAGGCACATTTCTAAACTATATAGTAAGACACTGTAACTGTCTGTACGCACTGCTGTGTTCACACCCTACACACTACTGCAAAACGTTTTTTTAAACATATGCCTTTACAAGACAGCACCTAAAACTAACACAGGTGGGATCTCCCTAGTCGGACACTCTCAGGACCGTAGTGGTCCTGAAGCACAGTTTGCTGCTGCCTGCCCCAGCCCATGGCTGGCGCTCCCCACCACTGCTTCTGAACCTGGCCAAACAGGGTAATATGGCCCAGCAATATTTGTGGTCCTGCCAGACCAGAGAGACATGGATTTTAGAGGTTCAACCTGTAGCACACGGCTCATTAATATCAGTGTAAAATGCATGTGTTAACTTCTTATGTGAAGCTCTACATGCCTACTGTACAATGTCACTAGAACAAGATGACAGCCTGGCCTAGGCAAAGGTGATAAACAGATCTGCCCTAGACAAAGGAATGTAGGTTACCTCAGTTTACACATTAGCTGTGAACAAAGCTATCAAGCGATCCAGCAGGGGTTGTGTTGAGCCTGAACCAGGATTGCCATCTGCTTAAAAGTATTTTTGTGGACAACATGGAAAAAAAGTTACTGAAACTTTTTTACGGACGCATTCTTACACTATATAAAGATACGACAAAAGGGAACACTAGTCAATGTTTTTATTCAGACATCACAGCAGCAATGTTATTATGCTAGTTTAACCTATTTACTACCCACATTCGCATCCTCCAAGTTCTGAAAGCTTTCGGGCAAGGCAGGTGACCCTTTTGGGACTCTTCTGGGCACAGGCAAAATTCAAAAGGGGGTGAGGAAAACAGACTTTTCTTCAGGTTTTACCTACTTCACATCTCGGGATGGGGGTGGGGAGGGGGCTACGGCTGAAAAGGCTGAATGATGGGCTGCAGCAGGAGCATGAGGGTTGGTGACACCAAAGAGCTCAAAGCTGGTCACCACAGGTGAAGAAGAGCAGCCCCCACCAGGAGAATTCCCCCCTGCCCCAGGAACTGTAGAGTCTATGGAGCTGCCCTGCGGAGCTTGCCCCAGAGCCAAGTGGGAGGAAGCTCAGTGGGTTTTTATTGACATGGAAATGTTTTACAGACAGGTCCAATTTTAGCTCCTTTTATGGGCTGCCCATAAATTTACTGACTGTTGGCAACCCTGGCTTGAACTCAAAAGGTCCAATTTTAGCTCCTTTTTACGGGCTGCCCACAAATTTACTGACTGTTGGCAACCCTGGCTTGAACTCAAGAGACTGAGAACCAACATTGCTCCTCGTACCCCAGAGAAACACAGGTGGCCTTCCTAACTTTGATATTTAAGACAATTCTTTGGGGATATAAGGAAAAAAGAGACTCCAACTGAATCTTTCACTTAGGAACACATGGGAAACCATCATCTTGTACTTCCGTGGAAGCTCCTGGCTGAGAGAATTCATCAGCCATGGGTAATGGGCGAACAAAATCATCAAAAAAGTCTGTGCCTTGTTAGAGAAGTTCTAGACTTGTAGGCACATATTTTTATTTGCTAGCAACTATCTCTAACTTTATTTCTTTTATTTGGCATCAAATAACCCAGGTCCTGCTGTTAATTAACATGTTCTATTTTAACTTAAAACAACCCAGTGCAGTGTCTGAACTGCTGTAATACATAACCCAGGTGTTATTAACGTGTTCTATTTTAACCTAAAACAACCCAGTGCAGTGTCTGAACTGTTGTAATAGTTAACTCCAATTAATGTCACAAGCTCTTGGGTATTGTGCCCTTAAAGGAGTAGATAAACCTTATTATTTATCTAAGTGGTTCAGGAGAAGGCTGAACACTTCAGGGTAGGTGGTTCTGTAGACATTTGGAACAGGAAGTGTGCTGAGGTCACCTTGCCAGGTATAACTACAGCTGGAGGAAACAAGGGAGAGACTGTTGTGTTTGTGGCAGGCTTCTGGGTCAGGACAAAGCTAGCAGAGCACGCAAAAACTCAAGGGACTGCTGTTTGTATCCAGGCTGTGAGCCACAGCAGCACAGCACTTAAGGCACCCATGGTTACAACACAGGATGTAACCTCTCCTTACAGGTCTGGATTACAACCCACAATACAACCATAACTATCCACAAACCAAACAGTCTAAAGCCCAAGAAGTTAAGGTTACAAATAAAGAAAATTAAGCATGTTCAGGTAAGAAATGATGTTAAGGACACCAAAACAACTACAATCTGCTCTGTCAGACTCATCCAGCTTCCCATGGGATTAAAAAAAAAACTCACCGAAATCTTGTGCATAGGCTACATCTAAAGATTTTTTAAAGATTTATGGCCTTTCCTTAGATGTTTCTCTTTCAGCAGAAACCTTCACTATGCCCTGTAGTGCTACTATGCAAACACTATTCTCTTAGGATTATGGCACTTTAGGGTTTGTGGACCTAGGTCAAATTACAAAAAAATTTAATTATATTTTGATTCCTAAACCTAGTTTGTTTGTTTTTTAAGTTTAACCTTATCAATGTAGTTCTTGATTTTGGGACAGTTACACTGTAGTTTACCTTACATTACTGATTGAGTGTGCCTGTGCGCCAAGTGGAAACTTGGACAGATAACTAGGGAGGAGTATAAATATATTGCTCGAGAATGCACGCCTATGTGCCAAGTGGAAACTTGGACAGATATCTAGGGAGGAGTATAAATATATTGCTCGAGAATGCAGGGGAGTTATCGGGAAGGCAAAAGCGCAATTGGAATTGCAGCTGGCAAGGCATGTGAAGGGTAACAAGAAAGGCATGTTCACAATAAGAGGGTGATCAGAGAGGGTGTGGGGCCCTTACTAGATGAAGGAAGTAACCTAGTGACAGATGATGTGGGAAAAGCTGAAGTACTCAATGCTTTCTTTGCCTCTGTCTTCACGGACAAGATCAGCTCCCAGACAAATGCACTAGGCAACGCAGTATGGGAAGGAGGTGGACAGCCCTTGGTGGGGAAAGAACAAGTTAGGAGCTATTTAGAAAAGAGGGACTGCTGTTTGTATCCAGGCTGTGAGCCACAGCAGCACAGCACTTAAGGCACCCATGGTTACAACACAGGATGTAACCTCTCCTTACAGGTCTGGATTACAACCCACAATACAACCATAACTATCCACAAACCAAACAGTCTAAAGCCCAAGAAGTTAAGGTTACAAATAAAGAAAATTAAGCATGTTCAGGTAAGAAATGATGTTGACACCAAAACAACTATAATCTGCTCTGTCAGACTCATCCAGCTTCCCATGGGATTAAAAAAAAACCTCACTGAAATCTTGTGCATAGGCTATATCTAAAGATATTTTTTAAAGATTTATGGCCTTTCCTGACCATACCTTAGATGTTTCTCTTTCAGCAGAAACCTTCACTATGCCCTGTAGTGCTACTATGCAAAATAAAAGAAAATTTAGATGGAAAGCTAATGACAACAAATTTAGAGAGTTCTAGCCCTTTCCCATGAGAAGGTGAGATGAAAATATGCAGACAGACAGACTTTTTTCCCCCTGGAATCTAGAATTGCATGGGCATCTGAAAAGTGTGTAAATTAACAGAGGAAAAATTGGTACACAAACCTCTAAAATTAATTTGTGCAAATTCAGCTCTAGGAACAATTGAAGTTTAAAATGGGTTTCGTTGTCC